TGGACCTTTCTATTGATTTCATCGGAATGTAGATAAAGTACAGTCTGTGAGTCACGATTTTGCCAGAGTCATGCTGAAAGGAATTTGTGGAACTGTAGGAATGTGATTTATAACCTGTATGTTTGATGTTGCTTTGTCATTTTTTAAACTGCGTTGTGTCTTTTGGTAGAAATAAATAACTGATGGAGTCAATATATAATTAAGTGTGCTGTCTTGTGAGTTTGGTGAAGTCTTGAAATACCTTTCTAGTTACAATATTAGTCTTAAGTTATTTATGCGCATCGGAAACTTAAGTGAGCCATTCTTTGCAAAAGAATTCCTGGTGTATTAGACAGTGTAAGAAATCTTCTTATAGACACACAGCTGCCAAAGTCTACTGGAACTGTCAGTGATTTTAGCTTTGAAGAGATCCCAACAAAAAGCATAGGTTTCTTATGATGCTCCAACTGTATTCAGTTACAGTGAATTACTCCTTTATTAAAAGATGCTTGCAACTTGATTCTCAGAGAGCTCTGAAATCCCTTTGCATTTCAAGGATGTTTATAATGATCCAGGTCATGGTGAACCAAAGTAAGTTCATTATGGAAATCTTTCAACTAAAAACTAGGAAGTGGGTGTGGAAGGGCCCTCTGAAACTAGGGGGAGGGGGGAGATATTGGGAAGTACAAAATTTACTGAAAATTTAAGGGGGGAAGCAGCTTTTTTATGGATTTTATAATGTCATTGTTGTAGGGAGTAGTAGATCTTCTATAATCAGTTATCTCCGTAGTACTGCCATTCCCCTAAATGCCCTGGAATGACACTACATCATGACAAAAAGTAAAAACAAACACCATACTCTTTAAAACAAAACAAAACAAAACAAAACAAAACCTAAAAATGCCATTACAGAATGGTATTCTCCCATGAAACTTTCAGTACCTTCTGCCTGCCTGCCCCTAAATGACTGAATCCCCCCCCCCCAAAAAAAAATCACTATCTGGGAATAAGGAAGGATTATTTTTGTGTATCTGAAGATTAATGCTCTCTATGTTATGGGATTCCCAGTCAATCATTGGCTTTTAGAACACTTAACATTTACAGTAGATGGCTCTTCCTGTTTGAGTTCTACTAAATAAAATGGTTCCTTCTTCACTTAATATTTTTCTTGTGCATGAAAACTTGATAAATAAATCACTTATAGCTGTTTAGCACCAGCCCACCAGTAAAGAGCATGGAATAGTTAAACAATTTCAGAAGCCAACCATTTTTGTAAAGCCTTCCAAAAGAGAATTGAAGTTGCATCAAGGACTCTGGGGACAGCGAAGCATCATGGTGGCTGTGCCTTTGAAAGTACAGTGGTACCTCTGTTTTTGAGCGTCTCGGAAGCTAAATGTTTCAGAACCTGAATGATAAAAACCCAGAAGTAATTGCTTCCATTTTTTATTTTTTCTCCATTGACTTTGGCAACCGCCCTTTGCACCTTGGTTGTCGAACGTTTCGGAAGTTGAACGGTCTTCTGGAACGGATTATGTTTGACAACCAAGGTACCACTGTATACAAACCAGCAGTTTAAGTCGAATACATTGGTGATGCCCTAAATAATGAGTCAATACAAACAGAATTGAGTTTTACTGCCTAGCTGCTGGTGGGCATAAACCCACATCTTTATGTTGTAGAATATCATGTTCCTCCCAATCTAGGCTCCGTCTACATGATGGCTAAATTTGATATTCTCCAAAATACACACATATAGCAAGCAGCTATTGGAAAATCAATAGTAGGATAGTAACCTGGTGAAACCTGACCTGTTTTTCAATAACCTATGAAATGTATCCTAATGATAATACTTTCCATGTGCCATCTTAAGACAGGCAGACTTTCCATCCTGCTTAGCCCACTTTTCTTTCTTTCTGCTGAATATCCAACATGAGGGAGACTTATTTGGAACTCAAAAACCTGCTCACTTTGTGACCTCTTAGTCTCCATCTCCCATTATCCCTGATGATTAGCTGGCTGGGACTGATGGGAGCTGGGAGTACAGCCATACCACAGGTTCCTCACACCTGCTTTAGCTGGTTCTAAAAAAGGCATCACCTACCGTTACTCTTGATATCTATGCTGTGTCCAGACTTCATTGTCTTTGGGACTAGCCCTGTGTGTTAACAGACTGGCCAACCTTTTGTACTTAACCAATAGTAGTCCCCAAATCTAATGGGTCAGAAACAGAGTGGGAAACAGACAACCATTAAATACCAACTGATAATTTCCTTTGGTGAGCACCCAAACAGGTAGAAAGACAGGGGTCTATATAATCCACTCACAGGGTGGATGATTTTACTACTCAGCTGTATCTGACCAGAAGTCCATAGAAGCGGTGGAAATTTTAGGAAGTGGGCAGGCAGCACAGACTTGCAACAGGGAAGAGCACTTGCAATGTCTCACATTTGAGGTTGTAACATGGTGTTTGCAATTACTTCATTAATAACATAGTATTTAGTCTTGCTTATGATGTCATTTTGCATAGCAAATGCCATTTAAAGCTGACTGTGCTTTTCGTATTCCTGGACAACTCAAATGTGTACAAGTCTGTAGCATGTTGGGTGATACAAGCTAGAGGAAGGGAGGCCTGTGGCTTAGGCATTTTAATAGCTTTTTAAAAAATTAATAATTACACTTGAAGTCATTTCTGGAAGGAGAACTATGCACAACCTTCACTCCCAGCATTTCACAGTTAGCTCAGATCTTAATTTATTGGAATACGTAGTACATGATCACTTATTAACTCTATTATGTGGGTACTCTCAGGGAAAGGTTGATGTTGTCTCTATATCTGGTTAGTTTCATGCTGGTTTTATCCAGATTTGCTTATGTCAACAAGATAAAGGCTTGTGTTTGCTGCTATTACATTATTTGATAGTGTTAATGTATCAGTTTGTTTTTTTGTTTGTTTACCATCTTAGGCTTCTAGATTGACCACATAAAAATACTACAAATAAAGAAATCATATATCAAAATGGAGTTTGGCAGAATGTTTCTTTCTTTAGTTTAAAATAGGCTATCATTGTGAAAGCTTTTATAGGAAAATGGGGGAATTGAGGCTCATATGTGCAGGATGGACTCCTTTTCTTAATGCAGACCAGATATTGTTGAAGTAAGTTCCATGGGTTGCATTTAGAGCATTTCATGGGCTGGAACCAGAGAAAACCACAAGTTGTCTCCACCCAGTTTTGGGGGATCCCCCTTAGCCCCCTGAACCACAGCATTCAGGAGGTCTTCCTGATCCTCCAAGGAGCTGAAGAGAAGGGGGCAGGGAAGTAAATTCCTGCTCCAAAGAAAGATGTCCTTTTGTTACAGAGCCTAATTAAGATGGAGGCTTGATGTTTATTTGTGTTGATTGCATCCTGAATGAACTGTGAAAAAAAATGTGTTTGGTAGGGGAGGAATTGAGGTTATCAAGAGCTGCTGCTACATATTTTACCTCCTTTTCCTTTCTCTGTGTAATTTTTTTAAAAAACACATTCACTTTCCATCTCCCCTCTGAAATACTTACAGGGGGGGGGGAAAGCAGGTGAGACAATGGTGGTATTTTTGTATCCTTTTATCACACCATGACATAGTCAGGAAGGTTTTGTGTGTGATGCAAAGAGCTGGAACAGCCAAGATCAAGGAGGCACAAAAGCTTGGCTAGATTACAAAGCAGGATCCTGGAAGCATTCTTTCTTCCAACAAAGTGTTTTCTTTTGCACATGCAAGGGAAAGCAGGAGGCCAGGATCTATAGTTCTTTTGGAAGATGCCTAGTGGGGAGGAAACTGGCAGGCTGTTGCTCAGATTCCTTGGTCCTACTCCATTCATTTAGCTGGCAAATTGTCACATGAACAAAAAAGAAAAACCTGGTAAACCGAAACACTCTCTGCTTGGCACACCTACAATTTGAAGGACACATACTGAGATTGTGTGTGCAGAGCCAGTGTGATGTAATGATTAGGGTGTTGGACTAGGACCTGGGAGACCAGGTCTCAGATCCTTACAACAACTGGAGGACCACACATACTCCATGTGTGCCCTAGTTACTTCCAAGCTAGGTTGCTGGAATGTTGTCTATATGGGGCTGCATTGAAGGACAGGCTGGACACTCTAGTTAGCCCAAAATGCAGCCACCAGATCTGGGACCTGAACACCAGCTCACACCAACCCGAATTTACAGGATCATCATTGATTGGCTATTCCAGGGGTAGTCAACCTTTCTATACCTACCGCCCACTAATGCATCTTTCTTGATGGTAAAATTTCCTTACCTCCCACCGGTGCTCGATGGAAGGACAATTCAGCTTGTGCTGTAGAACCCCCTACCGCCCACCTAGAATCCTGAAAGCCACTAGTGGGTGGAAGGGACCAGGTTGACAACCTGGGCTATTCATTTCTGGGCTCAATTGAAAGTGCTTGTTTTAACCATTAAGGCTCAGATAGCTTTGGACCTGCTGCGACATGAGCTGCCCATCAGTTAAGTTGACCCAGTTTCCTAAAGTGAACCATCATTGTTTCCTAACCATCATTGACTTTGTTTCCTAAAGTGAAATTAGAGAGGTGGATTCAAATTCACAATTATGGATTACCCTCCCACTGGAAATCTATCAGGCACATTTTCACTTAGCTGCTGAAGGTCATTTAATTTCATCATGCTTTTAGCAATGATGAATATTTTGTCTTGTTTATCTTGTTTCATTGAATATTCGTTTAACTCTTGTAAGCTGTACTGTGTATTTCTTAATAATAAAACAAGGTTGTATTATTTATTGCTGGATGCCCTGTGCTCCCACTGGGAGGAGTTGTGTGATATAACTATGTGGAAATAAAATAGTAAGCAAATAAACAGACAGAAGTGATATTATTGTGAAATGGCTTTATGTTTTCTTTAATTCTCATAATGAAACCAGCACCACTTTACTCTGAATGACTATACAGGAAATAAATTGTTTGTATTTATGATTTTATGAGTCTATTCTATGGTTTATTCCAGTTCAACAACATTCCCCATTTGAGGCTTATCGGAAAACCTCAAATCCCTCCACCTTCTTTGCCGCAGCCAGACTTTCTGCGATGCTGAATGGAAGTGAAGAAGTCTATGCGAACCGCATGGTGGTGGATCAGGTAAGTCTGACAGACATGGACTCTGCTAACTTCTTGCAAAAGTGCACACTAACAACAGACCCAGGGGTTGGAGGAACTCCACAATTGCGTTTTCCACATTTTCTTTCTTTCTTTCTTTCTTTCTTTCTTTCTTTCTTTCTTTCCTTCCTTCCTTCCTTCCTTCCTTCCTTCCTTCCTTCCTTCCTTCTTCTTGTATTTCAGTTTTCTAGGGGTGTGTGAAATTAACAGTCTGATCTTAGTTGTGGTTCTAAAAAACCCCAATGGTAACAATGAAGATGATTATTAGCAAAACGTTCGTTTTCCTTTTCTCTGCATTACTGGTGTTTATATTCCATTTCTTTCTGCTTCTGTTGGTTACAGATGATATTTAATAGCATCTTAATGTCTGATCATCCAATTACTGTATTTTGGGGGAAATGAATAGATTTTCTCATGCTTATTAAACATACGTATAACAAAATAAGAAACCTACAGGGAGATTATTCTTCAAATGGCCTCTGTTTGGGTTGCTTCCAGTCTATCACTATTTTTGTATAGGATTCAGTCACATACTGACAAATTCAGGATGCACAATTAAAGTTGATTTGGTGTCGTTGAGCAACAGATCTGCTCCCCCCCCCAAATATCGGACTTCTAGCAATAAGTAAAATGACAAGAAAATGCACTGCAAAGGGTGGAATAATGGTTGCTTGATACAAGGCCATGTAACCTCCCCACAAACAAATCAGGATAAATGTTCAATAAACAGGTAATCTGGAAGCAATCCTAGAACACATCCTAGGCTGTGTTCCTCTAGCCAGTTTTGTATTTGGAATGTGAGGACCTCATACTAGTCTTTACAGACTGGATTCAACTTTATTTCATTTTGTTTTGCATCTTTTGAATATGACCCAACTTGTTTGGATTTCTTGCTTTAGATGGAAGACATGGGCGTCAAGTACATGAAGGTAGACCAGTCTGCTCCTGAAATGTACAGAGACCGCGCAGACTCGAATGAAGATCCAGAAGCATCAGCAAATAGTGGGGACAGCAGAAACTCCTCCCCCATCATTCAGTCTAATTTGGATGCAGCAGGTCCATACTTGTCTCTCAAGAAGACACATGGATTTAGCAATCAACGGAATCAACGCTATTCCATCATTAAAAAAAGGAGGTGTGGATTCAATTTTAGCAGTGTTGTTTCGAAAAGAACCCCCCCCATATAAACATGTCTTGCTCAAAAAACAGAGAGAAAACTGAATGCCAACAAATTGTCTCCTGAGGAAATAAAAAGATAGCCATAGGCTGCAGTGCTAACTATGTTGACTCAGAAATGAATTCCACTGGATGCAAATGGGGTTATGATTCCAACCTAAGGCTATCTGCAAGCCCCCCTTTCCAATCCAGTCCAATCCAATCCATAGTCTTCTCTTGGATTTGTGAAATGTTGCCCTTCATTCTTGTATTTTTCTGCACCTTGGTTTTCTGGATGGAAATCAGCTGATTGTCAGGACTGCACAGCGCCACACATGGCTCTCTGCAATCATTGACTACCAGCTAATCATCATTGCTTCCAGAGAGCCCTTCATGGTACTTTAATAAAGGGTTGCCCCTTCATGGTTTGATTTCAAACCCATGAGATAAATTGGATCACCTGACAGATAGGTGCCCCTCCTGTCGAATATGGCCTACAGCGGGTGGGGGAGATAAAAATCTGATGCACTTCAACTTCAGATCCATATCCCCACTCCTGGCTTAGCACATGCCTCTAATTTCTTAGATATTTGAGCCATGCAGAAGTCTTTGGAAGGTGGCTGTGATGCTGATCATAGACAGTGTCTGTAACACCCTCTGCTTAATGTTGAATAGCTGGCTTATGTTGCATTTGTAATTTGCAATCTCTCTCTCTCTATCTGTCTCTGTATGCTTAGTTCTAGTCTTGATGACTTGGATGTAGACAATGGAGATGAAAGAATTTCTAACCGATCCCATAACTGCTACCCTTCAATGTCCTTCAACTCTTCTGCAACCTTGGACAATAGGGATGGGTTAGGTTCTTCAGAGACAACCACAGAACTGGATTTTAACATGAGCAGGGCTGAATCCCTTCCTTTGTCCAGCAATCTGCAGTCAAAGGTATTTGCTTGTTTTCCTACAAAGTTAGTAACTCATCTTTTCTATTTCCAGTTAGCCAAATCAATTACATTTAGACGGGGTACCACTTTTCTTTAAACTCATTATTAAATATGGGGTTGGCTGCAACCTTTAATTGATGTGAGATCGTATTTCCCAAAATTTGCCATGCCATCTTTTCAGCAATAGACAAGAGTCTAGAGGAAAGGAATTTCACATAAGTACCTTTACTTACAGTGGCCATAAATGAAATAAGTGGATTGAGCATTCATCTAGCTTAGCAAATGTTAATTTGAAAAACATCAGCACCTACCTAGCAGCTAGAAAAAGGATGAGGAAATCTGGACTTATGCTATTGTTGTTTGTTGTTGTTGTTGAAGATCAGTTCTCTAAAACATTGGGTGTATTTTAGGAATCCTTACTGTCCGGAATTCGGTCTCGTTCATATTCCTATACGTCACCCAAAGTCTTATTAGGGAAATCACACTGTGCACGGGACTTCACAGTAGCCGATGCAAATGACGGTAAGCATTAGCCCTGTTTTCACTTGTCATGTTCCTCCTCCCCTATTCCCTGCAGAAGGATGAAGTTGGTGTCCTTTATTCAGCCCAAGTCTAAACTTCCTGTAGATCTTTAGGAATGCAGGTGCACTTGCTTAAAACTTGGGATGATTAGAAAAACCCTGCTGCTTAATACAGTCAGGGAGAAAGGCTCCTTCTGAGTGACCCTTCATCCCTCTGTATCTGGACCCTGAATCTCTCCCCAGGCTCCAGCCCCTCCCTACCTCCTCCCCTCCCCCTAAGCCCACACCTGGACCTGCTTTGCACCCTCCTTGAGTGTTCTTTCTTTGGCTAGAAAGTAGCCTTGAACTCTGCTTCTTGCTTGCCTGTGTGGAGGAGACAGAAGGATGTGTGTTGAAACAAGTCTATTTACTGAACACACTGAACAGTGAATCTGGCTCTGTCCAAAGACTGGCATGAGGCTCCCCAGAAGGTTGCCTACAAGCAATGTGAAAAAACCTTGAATCTGCAATAGCTGAGGCAAAATAGATGCAGGTGGGCCTTGTCCCCATCCCCATCATGTGCTGGTTTTTCTTTCTCCTTCCTTAGGAACATGCCTTCAAGCAAATTCTGTCAGCCAAAATAAGTCACATTTATTTATTTATTTCACAAAGTTTATATACCGAATGAGTGCATAAATTACTGTTGATATTGACTTCCAGAGAGAGAGAAAGAGAATGGATATTTGATAGTTCTCCCCCCCCCCCAAACGTTTGCTTTTAAATATTCAGGCATGTTAGCCTGCAGTAATTGAGTGAATATTGTGATATAGCTGCTTTAAACTTATTATTGTTTTGTAGAACAACGTGCATTCAGCTTGCCTGAACAGTCAAGAGAGAAAAGGTATGGACTTTTTAAGGGCACATTTAACATAGTTATCTGGTTATTAGCAATAGCCATCAACCAACTGCAACTGTTTTACTTTACAACTAGATTTATTACATCATAAAACTACTCCAGTGCCAACCTGATTAGTATTTGTTGGTGATAGCTATGTAACGTACCACACCTCATTTATGTAAAATTATGGTTCTGTATTCAGTTTTAGGAAATATATTTATTCTCTTCTTGTCTCCAGTAACACAGTCACAGTGTATTAATTAGATACCTGATTTCAAGAAATCATGCATAGCATAATGAAAGATTTCCTGGTGTATTTTTAGGATTCCGGAAGAAGAGTGGGAAAAGTATATAATACCTACAAAATCAGAATCTGAAAAATATAAAGTCAGCCGTACTTTTAGCTTTCTGATGAATAGAATGGCCAGTACACGAAATAAATCCAAGGTAATTCAATATGATGTGTGCTAGATGACAGTTTAAAAAATAAATAAATAAAATCTTATGAATGCTGAATAGATTTTGAAATGAGAACGGCTTCTAAATGTTTGCAGATGTAACCCTGTAAACACGTATTTTCCCTGGGAAATGAGACATTTCTGCATTTGATGCAGAGGGTTGCCTTGTGTGGTTTTTATTATGTTAGTAACATTAAAAACAGTGTTCCCCACCTGCAATCTGAAGCCATACAATCTTCTTCACTAACTCAAGACTCTACCCTCGTATTCGGCTACATGTCTCATTTCTGCCTTAAGTGAAGATAAAGAGAGAAAAGGACAGGGTTTGATACAAGTAGCAACAATAATAGGACTATTTATACAGCTGCACAAAACATCCCTCCCCTTTTGACTTTTGCGTGGTGTGTGTGTGTATGTGTGTGTGTGAAAGTAGCACTTTGGGGAAAAGTATGTTCTGCCATCTCCCAGTCATGGAAATCCTTATCCCCTGCCTCCAGCCTGCTTATTGCCAGCTTAAACTCCTTTGGTCCCATTGTTCTTATAATTATTGTGTTTTCTCTGAATCTTCCTATTTCTGGGGATAATCCCATGGGGAATCCTAGCCAATCAGGTATTACATAGTAAATAGGATGACATCACAGTTCTACACAGGCAAATCTGTCTAATGAGTTGGCATTTCTGGAAGTAAATGAAGCAGCCTTCAGCAAGCCCCACTGTAACTATAATGGGTGTTCAGTCAAGGTTTAGAAGGAGTGAGACCTGAAAAGACCCCATAAACCAGGAGGGGTGCAAGGAATGTCTGTTAAATGGAAGCATGCATTTGGAACGTTGTGTTCGAAATGTACTGCCTTTATGCACATCGTCCGACTGAATGATGACAAGAGATCTGTATTTGTTGAATTGTTGTTATTGTTGATGCTTTCTTGTGCAAAATTAACAAAATGAATGTATATAAAAGATAGAAGAGTGGGGAGATTTTATAAGATGCAGATAATTTCCCCACTTCTAAAGAACAAGGCAGTAAGTGACATGGGGAAGATAAAACTGCGGCTGGGTTTAATAATAGTGGAACATTTCAAAAGCTAATGAACTTCTTTTAATTCTTTTGTTTTCCATTCGGCTTATCAAGGCCAAAAATAAGGACGCCAAAGAGAAGGAGAAGCTTAACAGGCACCAATTTGTTTCTGGGACTTTTGCTGGGGTGCTGCCATGCTTCTCATGTGAGAAAGCCCTTTTGGGGAAAGAGGCATTGCAGTGTTTATGTAAGTACCTACGTTTTATGCTGAAGACATTTGACACCCACAGATTCCCCCACATTCTATAACTCTGACTGAAAATAGCCTTAATCATATCATTGGGTTTTTATACCTCAAAGTAGCACTTGTATAGATTGCATCGACATTCCTAGAATCATAGGGTTGTACCAAACCGTGTTGCTAGGCTGACGGTGAGGCTTCCATCAACAGAACGAGAAGGGAAACAATTTTCAGAGAATCTCCACCTGCAGCCTTCCCAATCTGTTCCAGAGGTTTAGCCCTCACCGCAAAATATGTCCGAGGTGTTTTAAGGTGGTTGCAGGGGAGGAGGAGTTGCTGAAGAATGCTTCCTCCCTGTTCCATGGATGAGTTCCATGAAAGAATGCTTCCTCCCTGTTGCCAGCTGAGCAACACCATCAGACACAACCCCACCTCAAAAGTTATTTAACCCAATTGTATTCATGAGAGGTGCCACCCAGCCTCTGTCTAAGAATCTCTAACAAATGATAGCCCACCACCTTGCAAGGGAGCTTGGAATGTTCTCCCTAGCAGGGCCTGCCTGGTGGCCGCGTTAATATCCTTTTGGCTGAGACTTACCTCTTCTGCCAGCATTTGATGGACCTTTATAGAATCTGGTGTGCTGGATAGCCTGGTCCATATACTGGTGACGCTTTAGACTCTCCTCCTGAAGAGAGGGGAGTGGTTGTGGGCGGGAGCCCGAGCCTCGCCTCTAGCAGGGGGCGTTAGCCCCCTGCCTCCCACTTACCTGGCTGGCGCCCACGCCCATCGGCAGGCACCCAACCAGGTGCCTCCGAGGGGGCATGTATAGCAGCCTTAATACGGCGGCGTCAGCCCCTCCTCAGCCTCACTCTTCGTCGTCCCGTCGCGATTCACCCACCCTCCACTCCCTTTGAGCTCAGGGCTTAGTTTCCCTTGGCCTTGCTATGGACCTTAGGTTGGTCGCCCTGGTTGTCCTGGTAGGAATTTTTCCATTTGGCATTAGGCTTTTTGGTTTTTTCGCCTACCTTGTAGCAATCATCACAACTTTCGTGGCATTGGTGGGTAGGTTAGGCATTGGAATAATGTGTCATGGTGTCGAAGGGCTAAGTGTGGCCATCGCCTATGCCTTCAATTTTGGGGTATTCCGTTAAAGGAATCTGGCGGTCGTGTATTCTGTCCGATGCCTGCTTGGCGGGAGGCCATGACACGACCCTCGGTGACATCAGGGGAGAGCCTATAGTTGGATTGGCATCAACAGGCTCCACCTACTGGTGAATAAACCCCCCTTGTTTCAGACTCACCCCTCTCTGAGGGGGTGGAGTCAGATGATGTAATCCAATGCCTAAGCCAATACCTTTTCACTTGCTGTAATCAATAAAGTTGTGGCCTTTTCTTGCCCATTAACCTTATATCACGTGTCCTTGTGTATTCATTCCACTTTGGGGGGGGGGGTGATCGGGTCCTCGAACCACAAACTGCTGTTATTAATGTATTTTTTGATATTATTGTTTCTTGTCAATTTACTGATGACTGTTATTTTTTTTAAATCTTTCGTACATTTTATATTGGTTTGTGAGTCACCTAGAGTGGTAGGTCAAGTTAATAATAATGCTCCTGTGTTGTGCTCAGAAATGGACCACTGTTTCCATATGTGATCGGTACAGACATGAATTTAAAGAGAAGGTCTGCTGCCATCCCATCTAGTTGGGACCCATGGGATAAAACGCACATGATGGCCTGAAGATGAAGAAACACATTTTTTCAAGGAATGTGTGGCTTCTCTCCTCCCCATGTCTCCCGGGTAACATTTAGTTAAAGAAAATGAAGGATGTGAACTTAACATACTCAGTTCTTCTTCACTTCTGTTCCACTTCATTGGCTAATGTTTGCATGAGACAGGGAAGCACTGTGTGTGGTGACACTCCATCATGTATCTGCTTAAACTAAGTGTTACTGGGGAGAAGCGGGAAAGAGAGTCTCTTCTACGCAATGGGTGCTGCTTTGGCCTTGTCCGCAAAATACTATTTCAGTATAAGATGGAATATGTGTTGCACCTTTTGCTCAAGCAGCTGACTTTTTGCTGGCCCCTTTTGTACAAAGCTACCAATCATCACAGCAGGGGAACAGATTGTCTCCTGGATTAGATTATCTAGAAATAAACCTTTTAATGTTGGAATGATAAGTCATAAACTTTACATTTTAATAGATTTTTCTTTCTTTCTTGTAGATTGCAATGCACTTGTGCATAAAAATTGTAGAGAAAGTGCTCCTGGGTGTCCAAAAGTAAGTTTCGAAAGGGTTTGGAGATATCACTGCTTGTTGTTTGATTGCCTTATTTAAATTCCCTCCTTACTGTGTTTTTCTGTACTCTTGTGTCATTTTGCTTCATGTAATCCATAGGGTGATGAAGCATAGAGAGTCGTGTCTCAAAATGACGTTTCATACGCTACTTCAAAATAGATAAACAACTAACGAAGGAATAATTTATTTGAATATGCCATATTCATCAGTAGAAAAACCAAGGCGTTCTTGGGGTAATAGAAAATGTCTAAAAATAGTGGGACAACTTAAATTTAGCATTTTCCTATAGCCTCTTGTTTCTACTTATTTGGCAGAAACTTGTTGAGCTTGTTTAGGCACTGAAGGCTGTGTAATTTCGCTAGGTCTGTTTCAACTTCCCTCACCTTTCCCTGCCTTTCCTCACACTGATTTGTGCTTCCTCTATTTCATACTATCTTTTTTGTTGTTGTTAGATCTTGGGAAGAGGTGTGGATTAAGGTGGTTGAGATAGGGCTGATTCTTATGATCATTTTAGAACCTTGCTATATGTGACTTTTCTGGTCACAATAAATGGAAAACTGAGGAAGAAGAAGGGTGCAGCTGAAGCCCACTGATTGGGAACTGAGGTCCAAGTGGAGCATTTGAATTGTAGCTTCATCTGCTCTGTTTTTCATCTCTGCTAACAAATAACAAGAGTGGCTATTTATGAAAGATAAGCCCTCAGAGTATGTACAGCTTCCCTTCATCTTTGAAATCCAGCGGCTGAATCCAATGTCATCAAGTACTGTAGTACCAAGGGGAATAGCGCCTCCTGGTGTCCACCAACGAGGATGCAATAGCAAGATTTCCACTCAACATTACTGACCACCAGCATCAATCTTTTCAGTTCCCCACCCACCCCAAACCTAAGCTTCCCTTTCCCTCTTACCTCTGAACACTTGCCTCACAGATACAAGCATAATTGCATTGAGAACAAATGCATATATTAAGGATTTATTTTAATTATCTGAAATTGCTACAGCAACATGTCATGGTATTAAGACATTCTGACAGAATACCATGGGTGTATAGTGGGGTTGACATTGTGAGTTGTGGGGAGAAGGGACTCTATTCACTTTAATGGGCATCCAACTGCAACACTCTGAAGTTTAACAAGAAAGATTTCATGGGTATGTATGTTGAGGTTTGAGTCTATGCCAGCGATTGGCATACTTACTATAGAGAAAGCACAGAATGCAAAGTGACATATCTTGTGGTGAGGGGCAGCCCTAAAGCCTAGGAGTGTTAAATAATGTCTTCAAATTTTCATACTATTAAGAAAGCATTCTTCTTTACCAGAAATCCCAAGAGAGGTGCCATATTAAGAACAGGATGCAAGCTGTCCAGACAAGTAAGCACTCTAGTAAGAAAGCTAAGAGATGTAAATCCATTTTTTTCATTTGTCAGTTCACCTGTCAGTTAAAATTGTTGAATACTAGCAAAATAAGCTTAAAACGATACAACTGAGCTTCTACACAATTTGTCCTTGCATATGACTTTATCCTGAATACTTGTGAAGATGCACTCAATGGCTGCATTCAACCAATATGCTCAACCATGGTTTAGAGATTTGGGTATAGGCCTTGGGCTTGTGGGCTCTTTCCTCCTTCTCCCCTTGTACAGCACCCTTAATGAATCACTTCTTGGTTTCATCAAACCATTGTTTACTTACGAACTAGGATAAAATTTTAAATGCAGACATTATCTGAGGAAAACAGATATTGGTCTTTTTGAGCATGCACTAACGTCAGGATGAACCATTCAAAAATTTTGAGCTTTGTTGAAATTGCTAGAAATATCAGCCTGAGTGAATTAAAACTGTGTGAAATTCTATTTTAAAAACTGTATCAGCCTACGAAGGATGAATAATGGAGGTTATATGGGGTCTAAGAACATAATTCACTTAGTATCATGGGGATGAGAAGTAATTTAACTTCATCCTGTGGCGCAGTTCACCCTTTCAAAATTCTAAATCCTACAACAATATTTTCAAAAATGTGTTTTAATCTGCAAAATATTTTTTACTGAGATCATCATTAATTACATAGGCAAGGATCCAAAGATTCATTTAGATACTTCCAGGGATGCTTCAACGTGTTCCTTGTGCAGTAGCCCTCCATGATACTTTTGATATGTTGTAGTGGATTGCAACTCAAAATTATTACAGTGGTACCTTGGTCGTCAAACTTAATCTGTTCTGGGAGTCCATTCGACTCCCGGAACCATTTGAGTGCCAAGGTGTGGCTTCTGATTGGCTGCAGGAGCTTCCTGCACTCCATCAGAAGCTGTGGTAGCCGCATCGGAAGTTTGACTTCCAAAAAATGTTCGTAACTTACTTCCGGGTTTGTGGCGTTTGGGAGCCAATTTGTTTGGGAGCCAAGCCGTTCGACAACCAAGGTACCACTGTATTATTATTTAAATCAGCTGAGTGAGATATAAGAGCTCTTGGTATCATAGCCATAGTTTGCCATTGGGAGATAGAAGACTGCATTATAATAAATCAGATCATTAGTCAAGGTAGCCCAGTATTGTCCACACTGACTGGTAGCAGCTCTCCAAAGTTTCGGATAGTGGTCCCTCCCAGATACAGAGCACTTTGTTAAACTTGTCCAATATCTGAAATACCTGAAACTTTGACCTTCCAGATCCATCGTTCAGAGATGTTCCACAGCCAACAATGTCCTCAATGCACCCTTCTACCTCAACACCCATTGGATTATCTACTGTAAAAAAAGATGTATTGCAGCCATCAAACCCCTTATCCAAAAGTGTTCCAGGTACCAGTTTTGAAAGGTAAAATGGCACTCTCTGATGTCTTGCAATAAACATGATGCCATCTAAATGAGTCACTACACCTGTATGGTTTTGCTTTACCCTAGGAAATCCATGTCACCTTTGGAATCAGATGCCGATACCAGCAGCTGGAGATCTCGGTCTCACTCTGAAGAGCTGTTGCAATCAATAGGGACCGCTTCGTCAGTTGACTCTTTTATAATTGAAGGTATATGGGGAACTCAATGTGATACTATCGACATGTGTATACGTGTAATATATTAACAAGAAGTGTGTATAAAATAGTACCACTTGCAATGATGAATAAGTAAACATCTGCTCCCATTTCCATTTTCATTATTCCTAATTCTGCAGCAAGGATCACAAGAAGCTTTATAGTGATTGCTTGCAAGGACCAGCTCCCTTTTCATCTCAGCATCATGCTTTTAAAAATACATATCTATCTCTATCTCTCTTTTCTAGTGGTTCGCTTGCCTATATGGATTTATTTATTTATGCAACACCTCCTATGAAACACCTCAAAGTGATTTAACACTAAAAACAATTTAACATATTTATGTATGCCTACCTGCTAACATTCTTTCCTAGACAGCTCACAACCTAAAAATGATAAAACACCATAAAAATTCATTCGCATAAAAGCAGTTTCCAGCATAATGCTTCTTCCAGCAGAGAGAAATGCAAAAGCGTATAAACTATGGTTCAGAACAATAAGATCACAGATTTCCTAAGAAGACCTGGAAAAACTAAAAAGTCTTCGTGCTGAAATGAGCATAGGGAAGGCCTTATGTGAGCCTCTCTAGGGATGAATTCTATCATCGGAGGGCCCTCTACCAACACTTGGTGCATGTGTTTGTGTGGCACACCCGCAGCAGGGTCTCTGAACAGGATCTCATTACAGTGGTACCTTGGTTTACGAACTTAATCCATTCCAGAAGTCCGTTCTTAAACCATTCTTAAACCAAGGCGTGCTTTCCCATAGCAGCGGGGGACTCAATTTACAAATGAAACACACTCAACAGGAAGCGGAACATGTTCTGCTTCCAAGGCAAAGTTCAAAAACCAAAACACCTACTTCTGGGTTTGCAGCGTTCTTAATCCAAGTTGTTCATAAACTAAGCTGTTCTTAAACCAAGGTACCACTGTATTTGAGTCAGTATATATGGAAGAAGGCCTGAGATGCAGAAACACACATTTTCAGCCCTATCTGCGACTTCTCGATTCACATCATGTGCTCATGCAATCTCATAACTGAGGTCCATCAGTGTTGCTTGTGTGCACCAAAAAAATCAACCCTACGTCTGATTTATGTTATTATCTAATCACTGCCTGAGTTCCACCTTGCTCGTATTTATGTGGCTGGTATATTAAATACTGTTTACTTTGATATCTACAGACGACGTTGATGCCTCCCTGTGGAGCGACCTCAGCACCGATGCATTAGAATTTGAGGCAGAATCCTGGAGTCTTGTTGTCGACCCTTCATTTTGCAATAAGCAGGAAAAGGACATTATCAAACGGCAAGATGTGATTTTTGGTCAGTATTCTAAAATTCAGACTAATGTTCTGTATAACTAGATACAGATGATGAGGTAAACCATGCTGGGACTGCTAGTGAGCACAAAAATAAGGAACCCGCTGTATGTAAACATACACAAATAGAAAAAAAACAGGGCTTCAGGCCAGCATACAAGTACACAATATACGGCAAACAAAGTACGACGAGTGTATTCATCACAATGTACCGACATTTTTTCTTGCACCGGAGATAATGAAAATGTATCATTAATTGCTAAAATTGTACTTATTTTGATGATTCTGGAGTACTGCTTGCATGTGCTACATGCCTTGTAATAGTGAATACATTGTGACAAATACATTCCTTTTACTTTGCTTACCATATACAGTGGTACCTCGGGTTAAGAACTTAATTCGTTCTGGAGGTCTGTTCTTAACCTGAAACTGTTCTTAACCTGAGGTACCACTTTAGCTAATGGGACCTCCTGCCGCCGCCGGGAAATTTCTGTTCTCATCCTGAAGCAAAGTTCTAAACCCGAGGTACTATTTCTGGGTTAGCGGAGTCTGAAACCTGAAGCTTCTGTAACCTGAAGCATCTGTAACCCAAGGTACCACTGTATAGTCGTACCTTGGAAGTCAAACGGAATGCATTCCGGAAGTCTGTTCGACTTCCAAAATGTTTGGAAACCAAAAGCACGGCTTCTGATTGGCTGCAGGAAGCTCCTGCAACCAGTTGGAAGTCGTGGAAACCCCGTCGGACATTTGGCTTCCAAAAATAGTTCGCAAACTGGAACAGTCATGTTCAGTAGCCAAAACGTCCAAGAACTAAGCTGTTCGAAAACCAAGGTATGACTGTATTGTGTCTTTGTATGCTGGCCTTAACCCCCGTTTTTTTTTAATATGGGACTGTTAGTTTATTGGAAGTCAGTTTTGATTTATTTAATTGTGTGCTTTCTTTTTCTTCACTGCAGAGCTGATGCAGACAGAAGTACATCACATCCATACCCTATTCATTATGTCTAAAATATTCAGAAAAGGAATGAAAGAAGAATTGCAGCTGGATCACAGCACTGTGGACAAAATATTCCCCTGTTTAGATGAACTGCTAGAACTTCACCAGCAGTTCTTCTGCAGTATGAAGGAAAGACGACAGGAATCATGTGAGGAGGGCAGTGATAGAAATTTTGTAATTAGCAGAATTGGAGACATCCTTGTGCAGCAGGTAAGGCACTGAGCTGAACAATTTTATTCATTTTTACTCTTACTAACTTTACTGTGCTCAGTGGGACTTACTACTTAGTAGGGACGGAGGAGAAATTTAATGCAACATTAATAATCTGCAAGGTTTACAACTTGAATATCTAACTAGGAATGGGAGGATAATTTTGATCTAGTCCGTGAAGTGAACCTCCGTAATTTGCACTTTGCAAAACAAAATGTCAACCGAAACAGCCATATTTCAAAATTCTCACTTCTCCAAATTTTGCAATGCCTTTCTCCTGCCCGGTTATGTGTACCAAAATGCATATTCTAGCGTACACAATAAATGCATGTATTAGTGAAAATAACATACAGTTGCACGCCACTCCCAGAGATTCCAGGGTTTGTTTTCCTTCGAATGGGGGAGAGCAGAGACTGTGGTGTATTTCTGATAGATGATTTATTTACACATATATACAACCTGACCCCCAAGATGGAAAGGCTCACAGCACTAACACCTCAGAAGGTCTTGTGTCTCCCTTGGTCACAGCCTTGGATCCAGACAGAAGTCAAGCATGGCTCTGTTTCCCTGGCTTCTCCCTGCTTCTAGCCCAGCTCTCAGCTCACGAAACTCTGTCTCTCTCACTACAAGCCAGGTGCTGGAGGGGGCCCACCCTTTTGCCCTCTGGCACAGAGCAACTTCCTTTGTTAGACCATACTTAGGTGGTACCTATGGTGGTACCTATGGATTCCATTGCTGAATTAGCTAAGCAGGTTCTTTGTGATATAAAGGTCATAGTTTATGACCTTTATATCACAAAGAACCTGCTTAGCTAATTCAGCAATGGAATCCTCATTAGATTTTAACCCCAGGAATTACAAGGGAGTCCGGTATCATGCAGACTAACCCCTTGAAAACACACACACACACAAATATGAGGGGAAATTGGTTGCAAAAATGTGAATATTATTCAAAACAGCGTACAAAACAGCTGATGAATTTTCATGAGGATTTTGGGGGGTGGGATGGGATTTTATTGCTTATGTTAATAATGCAGAACATAACCAGTCTTCACTTCTGGCCTATAAATGGCTTTACTTATTTCCTCATATAGTGAATTAGTCTTTGTTAAAAATAATCCTTTGGATAGTTTTGGCCACAATTAAATATTTGAGGTGGGGTGGGGGGCCCTACATATTAGTCTTATTACTTACGTGAAAACTCTCCACTGAATACATAAATTGTAGTCAGACATGTGTAGACTTTATTTGACTCCCACTGCCTTCAGAGGTTAGCCATTAATCTGACTGATGTGTGTGGCTTTGTGTGGCTTAGTAACATTTTCAATGTAAGGCATTTGATATTCCATGAGTACTATTTTTAATTGCTGCTTTTTATCAGTTTTCAGAAGAGAATGCAAACAAAATGAAGATGATATATGGGGAATTTTGTAGTCATCAGAAAGAAGCAGTGAGTCTGTTCAAAGAACTGCAACAAAATAAAAAGTTTCAGAACTTCATCAAAGTAAGTTGGCAATAGCAGGTGAGTTAGAATCATAAAACTGTAGAGAGGAAAGGGACCCCGAAGGTCGTCTAGTCCAACCCCCTGCAATCCAGGAATCTCAGCTACTTCTGTAGAAAAAATGCTGGAATGAATGAATCCTTAATAGTAACATGCCTGAACAAAGCTGGTATAGCACAGAGGCTCGAGTCTGAGCTGCAAATCAGAAAGTTGCTGGTTAGAACTTTGTGTGCCTTGAATTCACTAGTAGCCCTAAGCAAGTCATTCTCTTTCATCCTCACTCTCCCCCTCCTCAGTCTGTACGATGAGAGATAATGATCATGGGGATACTGGATCATGTATGTGAAGCACTTTGAACACTTGAAAGTCCTATGCAAATTATTATTCATTAATTATTATATAATTAATTTTTCTTTAACAGATGTTTCTTTTGTGCAGGCACAAAATTAATCGGCATAGGTCGTTTATGTTGTTGAGCTAAATTCTATTCTAAAAACAGGCCCATAGCTGTAAGTGAGGCTTTAACAAATGTAAAAATTTAACAAATTGAGTGTAAAATCAGTTTAGTAAAGATTACAATGAATTTCAACTTACTATCAAAATACAGTATCAGATTTGGGGGAAACCCCCTCGCCAAAGAAATCCACATATTTTCTTACAAAACTTAACAACAAATTCAAATACAACAAAGTCAACGTATTTCATATTACAATAAAATCTAAATTTAATAACAAATGCAAATCAAGATTAACAACACAAAGCAAGGAAGCTAACCCGACCCCCTTAGTGCTTAATTTTGCTGTATTCTGATGACCCACAGAAGCCTAGCTTGAATATAGTTCTGAGATCTTTAGGGCTAGGTCTTCCCACTAGGCTCAGAAGGAGCAAAAGAGATATGTTGGGCACCACCAATGATGGTTAGTTGTCCTCTTCAGCATCCCAGGTGTTCCAGCCACTAGTGCTGGTCTTCTTTTGTTTGGATTATTTTTATTTCAAAACCACCACAATAACCTTTCAAACTAAAGTAATAATTCACACTAGTTAATCCGTTGAAGACCTTGTTTTCTATCGACCAGGTTGATGATGCAAACCCTAAAACTAAGATAAGTAAAAATTACCTTAATCTGGCAGGAGAGATTCACAATGTAAAAAAGAAAGAAAAAAAAAGGTATCACAGGTAGGAATGCTTATTTACATAAGTGTTATAGTTGCATTCCAGAAAGCATCTTCCCCCCTGGATGTTGCTGGACTCAACGCCCATCAGCCTCGGCCAGCATGGCCTATGGTCAAGGATGATGGGTGTTGTATTACAATGCCAGATGGGAAGCAACGGGTTAGGGATGGCTGCTCTAATGATTCACTGACTTGGGGAACTTATCATATCCTTCAGAACAATTCAGTTATAGAGTTAGTTATCTTATTGACTGCATCATACAAATGGTTGTAGCTAGATAAAGAAAATAATATGAATTTTCATTGGATTTAATCAGAAAAAGAGGACCCTGTTAAACATAGGCTAAACATAACCTGCGTATCAAATACATCAAACAAGGGCTGTATTTAAAAATTCTGTCTGTTTTTAAAGCTACGGAACAGTAATCTTTTGGCTCGACGTAGAGGAATCCCAGAATGTATTCTGCTTGTTACTCAAAGAATCACAAAGTACCCAGTTCTGGTGGAGAGAATATTGCAGTATTCCAAAGGTAAGCCATAATTTTAATTCACATGCCATCAGAAATTCTCAAGGTTTGCTCTGTTGAATAACACTAGGGGCACCAAAGATTTCCCCCTAGTTTCTCACATTGTGAACAGGAAAATATCCACCTAAAGTAAACAACAGGTAGGTCAGAATTTCACGTCTCCCTTCCATTTGCTTTTATAGGAGCCCATTTCGTCAAGGTGTTTTTTTCTTGAATGAAAGCAGTGGCAAGAACTGGCCTGGCCATTATATCTTCGTCACATTGATTATTACTGGGACCCAGAAGGGCAGAAGCCATATTTTCAGTAATACAAAGCAAGCATATGTTGCATGGAAAAGGAATGCAGATATTAATTCTGGAACAGTTATTATCATTATATGTGCTTTCGTCTCAAACCACATACACGAAAAGCCTCAGAACCACATATTTAATTAGAATTTTTTAGGGTGGAATTCATAGGCCATGAACTATGTACAGAAATAAATTGAAAAACATGCGCTTGGGCATCTCTTGTGAAAATCCACTCCAGTTATTTAAGGAGAAATGGTTTCCCTTCTTTGCTTATACAGAGAGTGTGTGTATATATTCTTATATTTATGTATATATATTTGTTTGCTTTTCTATAGAAGGAACTGAAGAACACCAAGACTTATGTAAAGCCCTTTGCCTAATCAAGGATATGATTGCAGCAGTTGATTTGCAAGTCAATGAATATGAGAAAAAACAGAAATTGATGGAGATTCTCAGTAAGATTGAAAACAAAACATATACCAAGCTGAAAAATGGCCATGTTTTCAGGAAGCAGGATCTGATCAAGAAAGAGAGGACACTGCTGCATGAAGGCTTAGTCTATTGGAAAACGGCTACGGGACGCTTCAAAGGTCCTTGCAGTTTTAAGTTCCTTGCATGCTTTTGAAGAATTGTGTATTGTTATTTTGGCTTCTAAACAAGAGACATGGGTTTCTGACACAGTGGCATAAAAAGGTATTCTGCAGGAAAAGGTGTCTCATATTTAGGCACTGATCCATATACATGATGGAAAAGAGAACACAGTCTTCTGGTTTGCCTTTACAGATTTGAAACACTGAGTATTAAACAGATACTCACACCATTTTCTTACATTAAATTTCCTCCCAAAGTTAAGATTGTTCAATCATTTATCCCTTTCCACAAAAATAAGGAATGAGAACAAAAGTAATTCTGGTTGTAACATATTTGACATCAGTGGCCTGCTTTGTAATGTGATTCTTAAATCACAGTTTTGAAGAGCTTTAAACCTCCTCAAAACTATGGGTTTAAATGTATTTATTTTTTCACATATTTATATCCTGTATTTTAGGGTAAAGCCTTCACAAGGCAGCTCACAGCACTTAATAAATACAATATGTCAAACAATATAACATTATAAAAAATGAAGTCAAACAAAGCCATCAATGGAAGGCGGAGCAAATTAAATATATATATTTTAAATCCACTTAAAAGCCACCAGTAAGCAGGCATTTCCTTTCGAATTCATGTAAAGGGAATTCCAGAGTTGTGGGGCCATCACTGAAAAGCCCCTGTCCATGGTGCCCACTAATCTCATAGTTCTTAGTGGTGGGCCAGAGATCAAGGCACTCTGAGATTGATTTCAGGGCAGGCAGTCCTTCTAGTAAAGGTGGCCAGACTTCAGGCTAGTGGGATATTTTGGCTGAGGTCCACCAGTCTGAGCCAGATCTAACAGTGGCAAAGACAAGGCAGAAGTACATAAAAGTATTAAGTAACTGGATGTTTCTGAGCCTACTATATGTGCAGCCTAGAAATATGTGATCAATACTTGAACCAAGCTCACAAATTATTTCCACACAAATGTACTCCCAAGCTATTTGCAGGATGGGGAGAGAAGGCTATTTACGGTAGTTGTTGCTGCTGTTGGACAATTGAGTCAGAAACCCTTCTACTATAAGTGATCTACTACAAATCTCCTAGCACGCTTTTAGTAGATAATGATTTACCTTCTTCCCAGCCTTGTTTTAAGCAATCTGGTCCCAAACCATTCATGTGCAATTCACTTTTTTAAAGTAAAGTTTCTGCCTTTGGTGGGGAGGGCAGGGGAGAATTTCCTTGAATGGTGAGGACCTTGGTAAATATTGTTTAATCTTGAGCCTAGTGCTGGAAAATCAATTGTAAGGCAAGCATTCTATTTGTTTCCCAAGATAAAAGAAGAAATGTTTTAAAGGCATTTTTAGAATTTTAATTTAGTCTTAGTGATTTAGATATAGGTAGCTTTCAGACATTTTTATTTATGTATTTTAATTGTGTTTGCTTCCATTTTTTTATTTGTTATGATGAAGTAAGAAATTAATTTGTGATACTTATTTCCTTTCTTTTTTGAAAGATATATTAGCCCTCCTTCTAAATGACGTGATGTTGTTTTTACAAGAAAAAGATCAAAAATATATTTTTGCAGCTGTTGTAAGTATGATTATCTAAAAATGTTAATTGCACTTTTGTATTATATTGTGTAACAATGCCTATATCCAGACTTCTTCTTTTGGTACCTGCCTGTTAGTTATATCTGGGTTTCTTTTTGGTATCGGGTCTAATCATAAAACCTTTTATCAAGGTTTATTTCTTTCAAACATTTATATGCTGCTGTGTAGTTTTAACAAAATCCCAAGTATGCTGTGAATAAATACTTTTTTTACACAAGGGTTAAATACTTTATTTATAATATGTGAACATAATAAACACTGGGCATGATCCAGCCAAAGTTATGTATTTTAAAGCCCAGTGCATTTAAATAAAAGGTACCCTAGTATCTAACCCCAGAAAGTCTTGGAACATGGTCATTATTATCCATTCAGTAATAAAACAGACTTTTTAGTATGCAAGAGACATTTTACCAGTGCATTCAATGATTTTATTCTGCAACACAAGCCACATTAAAGGAAAATGCAAGGCACATTCAGTAACATGATGGACCATTTGCTTTCCCGAATAAAGCGAGTTATGCTAGTCCTGATAGATACTGGTATCTGCAAAGACCTGCAGTGCATTTCAAACATAATTATTCTCCCAAGTTTCCATGATTAAAAATTGCTCTGACATTCTACTGACAACACACCCTTTTACTGTGGCCTTTGACACCTGAAACGTGCGTTTTCAGGGCCTGCCCTATTCTTGTGACTTTAATCTGTTTTAAATTCTTAATTTTAAATGCTTGTAACCTACACTGGGACCTGCTGTTGTAGGGTTGGTGGTGGTAGTAGAAGTAGTAGTAATAGTAATAGTAATGATGTTGATGACGATAGTAATAATAGTTACTTTGTGGTTCCTTCTGTGTAGGACCAGAAACCTGCAGTTATAGCCCTCCAGAAACTTATTGTCAGAGAAGTAGCCAATGAGGAGCGAGGGATGTTCCTGATTAGTGCCTCGTCTACTGGGCCCGAGATGTATGAAATTCATACCAGTTCCAAAGAGGAACGCAGTCAGTGGATGAGGCAGGTTCAAGAGGCAGTGGAAAGGTACAGGCAGACCCTTTATGCACTGCTTTTTTTACATTTATTTATTTCTTTACTTGAGTGTAAATCATGTCTAGAAATGCCGGCTCAGATCTGATTTTGGTTTGGCAGATGTTCTTTTATCAATGTGATTTTCTTAAGGAGACATATACAGGTAGCATGGGAGCTCATTAAGCTGTAGTTACCAGGGATAGAAAATACATAGCTGTTAAGGTTGCAATCCTGAGCATGCTTAAGAGCTAGTAATATTCCATTGAATACAGTAGAACTTGCTTCCAAGTAAACATTCATAGGATTGTCTTGCAAGCTTATTTGCTTCATATTGTGCTCTGTTAAAAAATATATGAATCAATTGTCACATTTCACTTCACTTCACTTTTAATTTATATACTGCCTTTCTGTATTACTATACACAAGGTGGTTCACAGCAACAAAATAACCTGATCCAATACATTTTCTTTGATGTTATTCTTCTAAACATGTCAAGACCAGGAATAGCTATTGTGGAATGACACAAATTGAGATTTTGCATATACTCTTAAGTGCAAAATGGGAGTTTGTCTGCATATGTTTTGCTTCTTGTGCTGCGTGTGTGTCTGCACACACACACACTTCTATTTATACATTAATTGCTTGAGAGGGAAAGAGAGAGAGACTTGGCTGTATTCTCTTCATTTACATTTCACCCAGTTGTCCAGAGGAAGAAGGAAAAATGAGCGAATCTGATGAGGACCGAAGAATAGCTGAAGCCAGAGCAGCCAAAATTCAAAAATGTCAAGGTATGGTATTTGCCCTAGTTCTCTTGAAATAAAATGGCTTAAAAAAAATAAAATACCTGGTGTAAAGAACGCCCATCTACCTTGAGCACAAGGCGTGCCTCCAACATTCACACCTGTGTCTGCCGCCACCCCTCAGTTCACCCTGACTTCTGAGTAATAGGAGCTGCCAATGGTTGTGGGGCACCTTTCAGCATTCCAGCAGTGGGGAACCTCTGGCTTGCGGGCAGTTGACAACCAAGACCCTTTAGTCTACCTTCACAGGACACTTTCACAAGCCCCTATCACCACATGGGAGCCATTTCTTCATGGTAAGGTACCACATGACAACTAGGTGAGGTTGCATCACTGAGAAATGGCTGTGGCTCTGTGGGAAGGTATTCTGACGTAGATGTACAATCACTCCGGCAACAACCATGCCTCATTAGTGTTCTGGGCTTAGCACACTAGCGTGATGCAGCTGTTGAAATGCAACGTTATAATGATAATTTGCTGAAGTAGACAAAAAAAACGGAACAGTCAGAAATCAGTTTCATGTTACAGAAGCCAGATGGGGTCCCCCCTCCCAATAGTGATTCCAGCATACAGAGTAGTAAGCAATAATGGTGGTGGTTGTTGACCTAAAGCATGGATTTGTATCTTGGCAGTAATTTTGAGTAACCAGGACCAACAGATCTGTAGCTACTTAGAAGATAAGCTGAATATCTATGCAAAGCTTGGAGACATGAGTGGCTTTGAAGATGTCCATGTAGAACCACACCTGCTCATAAAACCTGACTCCGGAGAAACACCCCAAGTGGCCTCACTCCTGGCAGCTGCTCTCAAGGAAGGTAAGGCTTCATCTATTGGCATCCCACCCTTTGCCTATGGGCATGTCCTCTCCTTTGTTGCTTGTCACACTTTTCCACATTTTTGTTTGTCTCTTGTAAAATCATCACATTCAGTGACTACTGTGTGGTTGGTCACTATAGTACAACAGCTCCTATTAAGCTGCGGCTCAAAGTACCAGTTATGTGAATCCAAACCTGGGGAGCCAGCATCAAAGTGCAAAAAAGATCTCTCTCTTTCTCTCTTCATGATCCTTTCTTAATATGCACCTCTCGAAAGTATGGGAGAAAGACCTGATACACCTCTGGTGTTCTAGACCCAGGCTTTAAAAGACGGTTGGCTAAACTGTGGCTGTCCAGATGTTATCAAACTACAGTTCCTGACAACCGTAACCATTCACCATGCTGGCTTAACTGATGGGAGTAGTAGTCCAACAACATCTGGAGACCAACTAAGTTAGTTCTTGGTATGAGCTTTCGTGTGCATGCACACTTCTTCAGATACACTGAAACAGAAGTTGCCAGATCCTTCTATATAGTGAGAAGGTGGGGAGGGGTATTACTCAGAAGGGTGGTAGGAATGGGTGATTGGCAGATAGCTGTGATGAGCCTGTTGACGACTCTTAACGACTGCAGTAGGTTTTACAGGAAAAAGCAAGGGGTGAGAAGGTGAAAAATGGCTTTGTCATGTATAATGAGATAAGAATCCAATGTCTTTGTTCAGACCAGGTCTCTCCATGGTTTTAAGTTTGGTAATGAGTTGCAATTCAGCAGCTTCTCTTTCCAGTCTATTTCTGAAATTCCTTTGTAGTAAAACAGCTACTTTGAGATCTTGTATAGAATGTCCTGGGAGATTGAAGTGTTCTCCTACTGGTTTCTCTGTCTTGTGATTCTTGATGTCAGATTTATGTCCGTTTATTCTTTGGCGTAAGGTTTGGCCTGTTTGTCCAATATAGAGAGCTAAAGGACACTGTTGGCATTTGATGGCATACACAATGTTAGACGATGAGCAATTAAATAGTCCCGAGATGGTATGTGTGATGTTGTTGGGGCCAGTAATGGTGTTGTCCGGGTGTATGTGGCAGCAAAGTTGGCATCTGGGTTTATTGCAGGCTCTGGTGCCAGTGTCCGTGTTAAGTCTGGTTGTAGTATTATTGTGGGTTAGGAGTTGTTTAAGATTGGGTGGCTGTCTGTAGGCAATGAAAGGTCTTCCTCCCAGAGCTTGAGAAAGAGAACTGTCATTGTCCAGGAGAGGTTGTAGATCTCTGATGATGCGTTGTACTGTTTTAACTTGGGAGCTGTATGTGATGACTAGAGGTGTTCTGTTATTTTCTTTTTTGGGTCTGTCTTGCAGCAAGTTCTCTCTGGGTATCAGTCTGGCTCTGTTGATCTGTTGTCTAACTTCATCTGCTGGGTATTTTAGTTCTAAAAAGGTTTGCTGTAGATCTCTTAGGTGAGAGTCTCTGTCTGTAGAATTGGAACAGATACGGCTGTAACGTAGTGCCTGGCTATATACAATGGACTGTTTGGTATGTTTGGGATGGTAGCTAGAGGCATGTAGATATGTTTGTCGGTCAGTTGGTTTACGGTATAAGGTGGTGTCTATGCGCCCATCCTGTATTTTTATAGTAGTGTCCAAAAAATGTATTTCTTGCATAGATTGATTCATTGTTAGGTTGATTGTGGGGTGAAAATCATTGAATTTCTGGTGGAAGGTGTCCAGGGTCTGTTGACCATGTGTCCCCACCTTCTCACTATATAGAAGGGTCTGGCAACTTCTGTTTCAGTGTATCTGAAGAAGTGTGCATGCACACGAAAGCTCATACCAAGAACTAACTTAGTTGGTCTTTAAGGTGCTACTGGAAGGAATTTTGTTTTGTTTTGACTATGGCAGACCAACACGGCTACCTATCTGTAACTGGAACATCTGGAGAGCAACAGCTGCTTTAGGTTAAAGGTTCAGGAGAACAGCCTTCTTGCTAAATCTGTCACATCATCAAATTTCTACAGTGAGTTTTCTAATTAATTACTCAGTTCGTTCACTTCAGATTTTAAAAAGCATCATGCTTATAAGCTGCTCATTAGCAAGTCGATACACCAATAAAAGTTAAGGAATGCAATGTAAAAATAACTTTAAATGATTCCAATAGTCAGTCATAGTTGTTTCACATGGAGAAGAAGAAATAGTTCATAATTGATATAAGGGAAACATGCATTTACCAGCATTAATTGGGGGGGGGGTACCCTAAATTATTGCCTGAAAGCCTAAACTAACTTTCTTTCTACAGCGGAAAACCTCCATGCGGCTGTAAGATTATCACAGATGAATGAAACAGACCTCTCAACAGAAGAGAGTACTGAAGAATCGAGCATGACAGAACGTCTTGGTGAAGCTGAAGACTGCGAATCTTTGACTGATTGTTAGTAAGCACTAATACCTTTTAATTGTCCCAATGCTAAATATACCATGCTTATTTCTTTAATCCTTTTGAAACTGTAATGCAAAACAGGATCAGCAAAGAAAAGTGCTTCATATTCTGTATACTTACTTGGGGCCAGTTCATCCAATAAGAGGAATCTCCACATAGGAGTCATTTGTGGAAATACATTTTCAGGACTGTCCTGTAAATCAGTGGCAAATTTATATTGCTTTTAAAATATTTTCTCTTGTTCTGTGTTGCAACTTCACTAAATAATCTGATGTGTAGTGTGCGACTTTCTGATTTGTTTGAGAGACGTTACTCATATTAGATATTTAAAACTATCCCTTTAAAATGTGCATGGCAATTTATTTTAATACCTTCTATTTACATTTATTTTTTAAAGGACAGATATTCTGATGAATGTTACAGTTTACAGGATGGGGCCAGTTCTGCCAGTTCTATATTGTGGGCTGCAGCTGTCCTAGTAATGTCTGCTAGGCCTCTAAACACTTGATGTGGTAGTCTCCAATTCAAGCACAAGCTCCCATGATTTATAGAGAGTGGTGCTGGAGGAGTCACGAATGTGTTTACAATCCTATATACAAACTACAAGCACACTTTGATAAATCATGTAGGTACGGATGCCTCAGTAGTCTGAATAGTTCTTTGCCCTGTCCTCCACCCTTGAAAAACAAAAGTAAAATTGTGCAAAAACAAAGATAAAGATTTGCGTATCTTTTATTAAGTTGCATACTTTATGCACATCACAAAATTCCTGTTTGCACAGAATTACCGTATCAGTTTTTTTTAAAAAAACAACAGCAACCAAAAATCAAGAGAGCTTGCTCAGTCCTCAGTTGCCTCTATAATAATAATAATAATAATAAATCAAACTTTTATTTATATCCCGCCCTCCCCGGCTGAAGTCGGGCTCAGGGCGGCTAACATCAAATATATAACATTAGTATAAAATCAAACAATAATTAAATTACCTCCTAAAAACAGGTCAAAATCAAATTAAAGTCTAATTGGATGGCTTTAACAGATCATCTATCTATCTATTATCTAATTTGGTTTTAAAATGTAAAATACTATTGATTTTTGAAAATAGTGCAGAGAGACGAATAAAAAGCTGAAAATGCAGGTATCAGAACTGGGATATTAGAACTTAATGAATTGGAGAAGTGGAACAAAAAAGGAAAAAAGGAGGAAGATAGAACAGTGCAGGGGAAGAACTAGGAATAATTTGTGCTGAATGGTTACATGTGTTACACACTTAATTTTGTACATCTGACTCCTGTCTTTTCCTGATGGTTTAATCGTTAGATACAGAACTGAAGGGGGATAGAGAGCCTTGTGATTCAGATGTCAATGATGCAAACAGCTTCACAGAAGCTCACATGCTGGATCAGGTAGGCTACTTGATGAACATTCTGTCAAAGCCACGCACACGGTGTTTCTGTTCAGGAATATGAAGGCGCCAAATCTGATACACGCAGTGCCCAGTCCTTCCCCCCTGGTTATCACCTTCTACCCTAGGGGTGGCGAAGCATTTTCAGCCCAATGGCCACACTCCCCTCCAGCAAATTCCAGGGGTCACATGCCAGCGGCATGCGGAGCCAGAGGCAAAAGTGGGAAGAGCAATACGTGTTTGCGCATGATGCTCTTCTTTTCCACATTCACCCATTCCTTTCCATGCTCTGTCAAGGCAGCAGAGAGGCCTTGTCACAGTTCCAGGTTAGTTAAGCCAGGCAAATATATGCATGGAGGGTGTGAAACAGGGCTGATGGGGGGGGGGGCGGTTTGCAGGGGGCAGCTTGGGAAGGTGGGGGAATCCCAAGGGCCAGATAGAGCAGCCTGGAGGGCCTGAGTCCCCCCCCCCGCATACTATTTCCACCTTCTCCAGACCCCCTACTTCACCTTGCCACAGCACTTTCATCACCTGAGCATTTTAAATAGGCAACCACCTTAAACAATCCTTAAACCCACTTACTTCTTTTGTACCAAGAATGCATGACTAATTTTGTAGCACACCATTTCTAGCACACTCCATTGCTTAAAAAAACACCCCACAACCCCCTGACATTTGCAAAATGCAAGTATTTAGACATTGTAAGAGACTTACCAGAAGGTGGCAGTCTAGGTCTACTACAAAAGAAAAAGCTAACCTCATTGTATGTTTGCAGGAAGGAGGCAAGCATTTTGCTGCTTCTGCGCAAACTGAGGTGAGTTGCTTCCATTACAAAATCTACTAGTATTGTTTGTCTTGGAACTTACTGTATTTTGTAAACAACAACAACAAACATTTCTTTTCTTTCTTTAGATTGTACAGACTATCCAGAATTTAACCCGCCTCTTGTACAGCATCCAGGTATTGACTTAATTGTATGTTTGTTGCCCACAACTACTATCTGTTTTTGAGAATTAAAATGAAACAAATATTTTGGCAGAAATCTGTCTGTTTATAACACCACCTTCTCTGGATTTTATCCTGGTCCTGGAAAGTATGGGCCCGATCCCATCCTCGCTGTGCAGGGCCCAGCAAATGAAGGTACAGAGCTGTGCAATGCCCCTTGCTAACTAGGCAGGGGAAAGAGTAGTTCATGCGTAGGCTACTGCCGGATGTCCTGCTGGCTGGAGCAGAGGGCATCCCATTGCCATTCCGTTTCCCCCGCTTGCTTCTGCTTTGGTGTTGCTGTTGGAAGTAGTGTGACCAGATGCAAGAGGACACCTGTATCTTTTAAGACTTGTGCAGAAGAGAGAATTACAGGAGGAGCAGTTTGCAAATGAGCTGCACTTGCTGAAATTCCCTCCTCCACACAGCTATTAAAGGTGACAGAGTCCTCAGGGCCGGCCCAACTGTGAGGCAAATTGGGATGATTTTCCGGGCCCAGAGATGCTTCACATTGGTGACAGCCTTCTCTGCCACCCACACAAGGCTTCTACTGGGCTATCCTCCACTCTGCCTCCACCCTTCCAGAAAAAAAATGTCAAGATGTTTTGTTTCATTTCAACTTGGGTACTAATTTAAAGTTACTTGTATGCTTCCTTCTGGCAACTCCTGCAGCCGAGCTGGAGCCAAACATATTGCTCTGCTTTCTTGTGGACCACATCAGCAAGACTGAGAGGGGAGTCTTTGTCATCTGGGCAGTCCAGGGCCTCCATGCACACTGCCCAAGCTTTCGCCCCAGGGAGCTCACATTGGTGCTGTCATTGTAGCAGTTTGACTTCAGCCCCTGGAGGCGCACTCCATTGTCTCTCGAGACAGACGGATGCCAGCCAATTGAAGTCACCACTTCCACCACACTTCTCAGTGTTTGTCTTTACTCTTACATAAATCCGGGTCTAACACAGGAGTGGCTGGTGAAGAGGGGGAACCACAGCACACCTGTGCACTACCAGAAGCAGCATCGCTGCCATGTATCGGGGGGTGCAAGGTGATGGGGAGGTTGGTGCTATGTGTGCACACTGGCAGAAGCCTAGTTTGGCCCTGTGGATGTGCCTGCACAGTGTTGACTTCCCTGCCACCTCACCTCACCTTCCCTCTCCTCTCCAGTTAAGCAGCCGTGACACCACAGCCAGGAGGTCAGGCACATGGAAGTTCCCCTGCCTTCCTCCCACACCTGAGCTTGCAGGGCATATATCCACTTGATAGCTATATCATTGTCCCAGCTCCCCTTGGAAGAGGCACACAAACTCAGAGGCTGATTCTTTCTCCAAGTTTTAATGTTCAAATTAGTACAATACATTTGCAAATCAAAGGCGCAGCCAGCAATACACATCTCTATACACAAGGATACAGCAGGTGAGATGGGTTTTCAAGTGAAGACGCTGATCCAACAAGGATATGCCCGGTGTATCCCTGTTGTAAAGGAACGAGGCAGGCACAATTTAGCCAGAAAGCGGTTCTGTTTCTTAGCAAGCAACCTGATGCGCTTGAAGTCTGGACCATCTGTTCACACCTCTTGATATCTGTGGGATGCAGGTGATGGGAGAAGTGTCCCTGTCTTCTGAGAGGTGGAGGGGTCAAGCACAACATCCTTCTTTGGACAGACGGGGATAGACTCTGCATCTGACTCCAAAGGTGGGGAAGGTGGAGCAGGAGGCACAGTGGGAGCTTCAGAGCCAGACCCTAACAGATGCGCAGAGGGATGTAGGGCCTCGGTGACTGATGGAGTGTAAGAACAGGTTGAGGGAAATTCACCCCCATTTGGATCCTCCCCAGAATCGACAGTATCAAGTGCCCCTGGATCAGGCAGTGACCTCCCAAGCTCTCTGGAGCCTTTCCTAGGGTCCCCACCCCCAGCTGTGGTCAACCCATGACGTTAATTGCACCTGTCCACTGGGAGTAAGGTTTTACATGATGTCCCTTCCATTTGCACCTCAAGTCTAATGGAAACTGATGCTATGTTTGTCTTTTGGGGAAAAGGCAGCCGTAACCATTCAGGACAGCCACATTGAGATCCATAAGCTGCTCCTGCAAGAACAGGAAAGGTCCAGCTGGAGTCCCAGTTTCCGTAGCACCTCCCTCCCGGAGCAAGAAAAGCACCGGAACTTCAAACCCAAAGAGGAACTCGTGAATATCCAGAAGCTGCAGCACCAGTTCCAGCAAGAGCAGCAGCGCTGGCACCGCGAGTGTGAGCAGCGGCAGCAAGAACACGAGGCGAGAGAGACCTGCTTGCTGGAGAAGGAGAAAGAGTGCCTGAACCGAGAGGAGCTGCTTTGCAAAAACCAGGGAGAGCTGGACGTCCAGCTGCAGGATTACCAGCAGAACCTGGAGAGGCTCAGGGAGAGCCAGAGGACGGTGGGGAAGGAGAGGGACACAGTCAGGCTGCAGCAGAAGATCTTGCGCCACTGGAAGCACAGCCGCCAGAGCAGTCTGCCTGCAGTGATCTCCCCAGGGAACAATGAGGTAGGCAGCATCTTCTCCAGAAGAACATTACTTGGGCTATCTAGCACTTTCCCTAGTTGCCTGGTGCACATTAGCTTAGGGATCATCACCAAAGCCCTTTGAGGGAGGACAGTTTCATTGCCCCTGCGTTGCAGAGGGGATGCTGAGGCTGAGAGAGAGCCGTGTGCCTCCGAACCAACCTAGCAAGTTCATGGCTGAGGTGAGGTGTGAACAGGGACTTGTCCTCTCTCAGCTCATTCTCTCCACTACTGCATTTGCCCCACTTACTGTATCTTGTTTAGGGCAGCCTTGGCCAACCCGGTGTCCTCCTGATATTTTTGGACCCAAATGCAGGCTGAGGCTGATGGATATTGTTGTCCAAAACATCTGGGGGGCACCAGGTTGGTGAAGGCTAGTTTATGTCATGAACCACCCTGTGAAATTTAGTAAATAAATAAAATAGTGAAACAGGAAATCACAAAAGGATATTGGGGAAGTACTAATGGCTGAGATGACTGATTCGAGGCCAAGGCCTTTTTTGCAACATCCCTACATCTATGCAAGTGTGGCGTTCGTACGGAGCCCCTGGTCGTCTCACGGACCATTGACCGGTACACCACCAATCTGCCACCAACCAGGTCCTCCCCGGTAAAATCACTTCAGTCTCAGTCAGGTTCTCATGGTAATAAAGAAGAGTGCATTTTATTTCAGACACAAACAAGCTTTTACGGCATTCCAAACGTTGTTACTCTTTACTTTCTTAGTCTTATTTTTCTCTCTCTATCTCTTCTACCTCTCCTCACTCAAGAACCCACTGCCCTGTCTCTCTATTTCCAACTGCCTGCCAACTGCTTCTCCAGCTGCCTTTCCCAACCAGCCAACCCACTAAAACCAACAACTCTAACAAACCTCGGGCTAAGCCTTTTATACACATGTAGGCTCCGCCTCCAGCTTTCCTATTGGTCTACATTTTTAACCCTTTCTTTTCCCCGTACAGACAGGCTCTAAACGAACAGGCAAATACCACAGCAAGTATGAGTAGTACCATTCTGGCAGGCCTTGCTGTTTAGAGAAGAGAGGGTGATGGGGAGCAACCAGAGAACAATCCTAAACATGAAAATGGAGAAGTAGGCTTTCCAAGGGCATAGGTTATATTTTCTCTTGCATCATGTAAGCTTTGCTTCTCTAATTCTCTTCCTGGAAGCAGATGGATAAGACTGGTTTTTCTTATGAATCTTTGCTCTTAGGGGAAGCTGGTTGATGATACCAAGGAGTGTATCGTCAGAGGATACGATAGAGCTTTGAGTTGCTTAGATTTCCCTTTTTAATTTCTTTGCACAGATCATGGGGCACATCCAGTCGGACTGTTTTTGTGGTGAGAATTCAGTCTTCCTAAATGAAGCCATAGTACAGATGTCATTAAACCGCCTCAACAGATCAAACTCATCTCTAGTTTACCAGGACAGTGTGCGTGGCGTGAACCTGCCAAATTCAGATTTAACAAGGACTCCTGAAAACCAGGGCAAGCTCAACATGGACATTTCTTCCCAGCAAGCATTCATGGGTGATCCCTCAAAATCCAGCAGACTCTGCCATCATACTCCCTCCTTCAGCGCAGGTCACACAGATGCTTGTAACAATTGTAAGTGATCATTTAATTAGCTATATCTGGTGAGCGAAATTAGGCAAAAAGCCGTATTCCAAATGTTCTGTGGGCTGGCGCAGATTGGAAAATCCTGAGACTCCCTACTTAACCTAATAATGTCGAGCTTCTGCCTATTATGGCTGCTGAGAGAAGCATGAACTCAGGACTCCTTTCACCCAAAGTGAGAAATATACTAAGGACCAGCACTTGAAGGTCTCTGTAGGGCAGTCCTTGGCCCCTGGATTCAGAGGGTGGGTGGGGTGGGTGTAGCAATGTAATTTAATAGCAGGCTGCTTTGAAAGTATGAGGTTGTAGCTGTGTGTAGGGCAGCGTTTCATATGAACTTCAAACTCCCACCAAATTTAAGAAGTATCTGGTTGCTGTTTGTGGATAAAAGGGAGAAAACCGTTCGATATAGAATCATAGAATCATAGAGTTGGAAGAGACCACAAGGGCCATCGAGTCCAACCCCCTGCAAAGCAGGAATAAGAATATGCATAAGAAGAATTCAGATTGTGAATATGGAGTGCTTAAAGAAAAGTAAATTAGTTGTTGACTTCATGGCAAATTGTTGTTTTTGGTACAGAAACTTTACGAAGGGCCTTGGGGCAAGTTCCTACAACTGCAAAGTGGAATACTAGATATTACACGCTTTGCTGAAAAGGCATGTCAGTCAACTTAAGAGCAGGACAGAAAATGAGTGAAAGGAGATTACATTCATGCTAGGCTAATCATTGTCTTCTCTTGTGCAGATAAATTAACAACCAATTTGGATAATTAGAAGAAGGAAGGAAACGAAAACTTATATCAATGTTCCTTGAAAACAGAATAAGTTCAGTTCAATTGACATGTCTGGCTGGATGCTCAGTGCAGTAACCAGATATTTAGCCAAGACATGGGCTGAAAATGAATCACATGCATAGTTAAAAACATAATGGAAATTGGTACTTTTAGATTGCCAAATGAATAGCTTTAACATTTATTGGTATTCAGCATCTTGATATGGTGTTTGAACTGAAAGCTTAAGAGAGAGAGTTTATTGTGAAGTATGGGTTTTATAAATGCTTTATGGAAATATTTATGTAGTATAAACTGGATTTTCAGAATTACATAAACACAGCGTTGCAATGCCTAAGGAGCTCTCCATGTGTTGGTCGTGCAGCTTTCTGAAGCTGAGTTGAGTTCTGCAATGCTGAAAGGAGATGGAAGCTATTTGAATAGGGCTACCCTTAACAGAAGAATTCATACAGAATTCATACATTTTGTTTCGAAAAACTGAATAAGGCAATTTAGGCTGAAAGAGAGCTCTGTCCCCATGTAGGCATCTTTTCAAACAGGACATCTAATTCATTGTAAGGTAAAGGTAAAGGTACTTGACAGACTCTAGGGTTGTGCGCCCATCTCACTTAAGAGGCCGGGGGCCAGCGCTGTCCGGAGACACTTCCGGGTCACGTGGCCAGCGTGACAAAGCTGCATCTGGCGAGCCAGCCCAGCACACGGAAACGCCGTTTACCTTCCCGCTAGTAAGCGGTCCCTATTTATCTACTTGCACCCGGGGGTGCTTTCGAACTGCTAGGTTGGCAGGCGCTGGGACTGAGCGACGGGAGCGCACCCCGCCGCGGGGATTCGAACCGCCGACCTTTCGATCGGCAAGCCCTAGGCGCTGAGGCTTTTACCCACAGCGCCACCCGCTTCCTTTAAAAAATGTATGCTACTAAATCCATGTATAGCAGAGTATCTCCCAGTATCCTGTAACATGCCTTTTCATTTCTGGGATTGTGCAATGTGTCCTCTGCTGCATTTTTCCTGTATCTTCCAGTGCTGCTGCCTTAGAACAACAGGAAATGGGGGAAAGGATTCTTGCAAGGGAAATGGACAAGGTTGTGCCCAGAAACTTTGCAAGCCATAGGATTGTGGTTACGCCGGCCGTTCTGTTGTTGGGGTGGCATGTAGCTGCTGTGGCAAACCAAACTGCACAAGCCAGTTGTGCATTGCTGCACAGCTAATGTTAACATGATCCCACCTTTTCCAGCCGATGTGGTGCAGCTTGAAGCAGCTTTCCTCAACCCAAGTACTCTCCAGATATTTTGGACTACATCAACCCAGACCATTTGCCATGCTTTCTGGGGCTTATGCATATTTTAGTCCAAAACATCTGGAGTTGTACCCAACAAAGTTGTCCCCATTAGCACCAGGATATCTGCCTACACAATGGATACCCAGAGCAGATGGGGAAATATATGAAGACAGCAGGGAGACAGCTCCATTGCACAGGCAGAATTCCTTACACTGACAGGACAACTTTGTTTTATGCAGCCCCTGGCAGTATGTCTTTCTGTCTATGCATTTAACTGAACAGTACTAAAATTTGCAGGTAAACGTGCTGTCTAAGGAGCAGGTGTTTGTGCCGCACATACACAGATAGAGCATTGTGGAAGTATCTCTGTATTATTTATTGGTGATGGTAAATCTGAGCCACGTCTCAGACCTCAGAATACAATGTTTCATGTTCAGCTGTAATAAAGCATCAATTGCAGGATTTTTAGTGGAAACGAATCGGGGGAAACATCTCTTGGGGAATAACATCCCTGTTTGTTTAAGACAGATGGAAAATTGAATTAAATCATATGTCATTTCAGTCCCAGTGTGCAGAAACATTATAGTCACATGCACTGGGAATATTTCAACCAGCAAAACTATTTCTATAGGGTGTTAATTTTTAGTGGATCCTGCTTTTCATGCTAATCCTCATTAAAAATCCTTCCTTTAGTCATTCAGGTTAGCCTCAGTGGATGAAGCAATATTATGCAGCTTTTATCATTATGGTACTGAACGACGTATTAGCTGCATAGACTTGGCTTATGTAAATAGAGGATTTCCTGTGCAATTTTAACCTTCCATTTTCTAAAGACTTTTAAAACATTATTTTTTTTAAAAAAAGAACTAAGAAAGAAAGTTAAACTAGTATCTTGTTTCTCTTGGAGGGAAAGGGGCTGAATGATCATATTGTGGTTTTTGAAATGCTTTCTGGCCTCTTTACCAAAGCAGCCCATTAGGTGTTTGCAAAATGTATGACTTATTGATGTGGTATGAACTATTAACTTTTTTTAAAAAAAAAAGCACAATGAGACAAAGCTGCCTCAAGTGCATTTGCAACAGCAGTTTCAATGATGTCAGTATTTCAGAGGGAATCATTAATTGCCCTTTAGGCTGAAGAGACAAAGGTAACCCTATATTTTAATGTATTACAACCATGTACATTTGTTAAGATCACATATAAAAGAGCCATGTGGGCGTGCATAGAAATTATTCATTTCCCCTCAGATTTTCTTACATTGCAGATTTTAGTCTACATATTTTAAAAATCACCCAGAAAAATAAGAATCATGTGAACTTATCTTATCCCTTCCTTTCACACTTCTGGGTTTTATTAAATTATGGGTGAATCGATTGGCATCCTTGATATATCTGGTTGTATTATAACCTTCAACAAAAAATAACACAAACAAGATGAAGGATTTTATTCTGTGATCATTTCAGAACTGTTCTTTGTCACAGAACTAATAAAACTAGGCTGTGGCATGATCTACTTAATCAGCTGTGTTTTGTGGAAGGTTCACAGCACAGGAAAGAGGCATGCATAGTTCTAGAGAATTTACTAAAGAACGCCCCCCCCCCAAAAAAAATTCCTAGGTTAACTTTACACAGCAAATTCTCTAATCTTGACGACTAGTTCCTGAGCATGTAAATTGAAAGTACAGTGGTACCTTGGTTTACGAACTTAATCCGTTCCAGAAGTCTGTTCTTAACCAAAGTGTTCTTAAACCAAGGTGCACTTTCCCATAGAAAGTAATGCAAAATGGATTAATCCGTTCCAGACTTTTAAAAAGAACCCCTAAAACAGCAATTTAACATGAATTTTGCTAATGAGACCATTGATCCATAAAATGAAAGCAATAATCAATGTAAGTAAAGGTAAAGGTACTCCTGCCCGTACGGGCCAGTCTTGACAGACTCTAGGGTTGTGCGCCCATCTCACTTAAGAGGCCGGGGGCCAGCGCTGTCCAGAGACACTTCCGGGTCACGTGGCCAGCGTGACAAAGCTGCATCTGGCGAGACAGCGCAGCACACGGAAACGCCGTTTACCTTCCCGCTAGTAAGCGGTCCCTATTTATCTACTTGCACCCAGGGGTGCTTTCGAACTGCTAGGTTGGCAGGCGCTGGGACCAAGCAACGGGAGCGCACCCCGCCACGGGGATTCGAACCGCCGACCTTTTGATTGGCAAGCCCTAGGCGCTGAGGCTTTCACCGACAGCGCCACCCGCGTCCCAATAATCAATGTACTGTACTATAAAATAAATAAAACAGTATTGTAGATGATAAAAATGAAAATTAAACTTTTTCTTACCTGCACTGATGATAGTGGGGTGCTTTTATCCATTTCCGCAGTCACACAATCAATCAATCAATCAACCAACCAACCAATCAATCAATCAATCAATCAGTAGCTGAACTGGGATCCACACAGATTCTCCCCCCTCCCCCCGCCGATGCGGGAAATGCTCCTTTGAGCGTGTGCCTCTCGCAGCAGCATGGGGGGGGAGTTGTGCGCCCGCAAACCAGCTGGTTTGTGGGTGCACAGCTTCCCTCCCTTGCAGCTATGGGGAACGCCGTGATGACCCCCTTCTGCGCTGCCAGACAATGAAAGTGTGGCACTCAAAACAGAAGTGCACCCCCAAACGGAGTACGTTCGGATTCCCAAAAAAGTTCGCTAACCAGAACTTTCTTCCAGTTTTGAAGTGTTCATGTTCCAAATAGTTCATGAACTAGGTTGTTTGTAGACTGAGGTACCACTGTAGATACATCAGGGTAGATATGAAAGTTCTTTGGCACTGCATCTGTGTGGTAGACCATCACTTAAATTTCCAAACGCGTATGTGCAAAATAGCCCTTATTGGACAGTGCCATAGGTAAAGCTGTACTTTTTTTGTAATATG